CGCTCCCTTGGAGCGCACAGCAGTGCAATCCAGTGCCCGTTGTGTCCTCTGTACACAGTGGAACACTGATCGTCGTACGGGACCTCTGAAAGCTGAAAATTGGCCTGGACAGGAAGGGGGTAAAAGTGTCCGGACTTGAAGTGGTTAAACATTACATTCAGAGAAATGTTGCCGACATAAAAAAAGAAGGAATAAACGTGTAACATTAAAAATTCTGACAACATACAAAGCCACTTTAAAATGTTTTGTACAGATTACTGTCTGTATCTTTTTTCTATAAATATAGACATATAACTATTTTTTTCTGCTCTGCCTAAGTGAAATCTTAGAGTCTTTTAGTTGAATCCCATGGTCAAAAATGAAACTGCCCAGAGACAATGGATTCTTTCTCCAATTTTGACATTTTTAACCATAAGATGACAAGCCTGCCCACCACGACAAGGTAGACTCTTTTAGGGCAGGACCTACACTAAACTACACTACGCTAAACTACTCCATGCTAGTCATCGTATTTTTTGTGTTAGATGCCTGTTTGTGATAAGCCTCATCCTAGAACCTTCCTTCTTCCTTTCCAGACTTGTTTACTAAGATCTACATAAGAACAACCCTTTTCATTCACAAAACAGAGAACAGATTTAAAAGGGTTGTTGCTGTTATCTTAAAAAAGAAGAGCATTTTTTCTTGCACGGGATGACATTCCCTGTCCCTTCTGCAATAAAGAGCCTGACTGTTTACAGTTTTGTTATTGGTGACTTTAGTTCCTCTTTAACCGCCTCCCGCCCGCCATATAGTAAAATGACGAGCGCAAGGTGGTTCTCTCGTTCCGGGAGGACATCATATGACATCCTCCCATTCTCACTGCGCATGCGCAGCTCCGGGAGCGCGCCGCTTGGCGATCGACGGTGACTGTGTCCCTCAGACACAGCGGATCGCCGATCCACGGAAAGAGTCGAAGTTGTCGGCTTGGTCATGAGATCAGCTGTGTCCAATCACAGCTGATCACATGTAAATAGGAAAGTGACAGTTATCGGCATTTCTCTCCTCTCGAGCTGTCACGCTGACAGCTCGAGAGGAGAGGAGAGCCAGTAATTGGCATTCCGCGGAGGGGACATGTACACTGATCATCAGAGCACTGATGATCAGTGTGCCCTGATGATCAGTGTAGCTAGCTCCAGCAGTGCTACCTGTCAGTGTCCATCAGTGCCAGCTGTCAGTGCTCATCAGTGCCACATGCCAGCACCCATGAGTGCCACATATCAGTGCCTACCAGTGCACATCAATGCCACATATCAGTGCCCATCTGAGCTGCCTTTCAGTGTCACCCATCAGTGCCAGTCAGTGCCACCTATCAATGCCAATCAGTGCCACCTATCAGTGCCAGTCAGTGCTGTTTGGAATACAACAGCATGTACTATATATAGTATTGTGTGTTATTATCACTTGACCAGTAGATGGCACTATACACTAAAGGTTACTAGTTTGTGTATATATGTAAAACTTGTTGGTTCTTTCTTCTTCTCTATCATCTCTTCAGGAAGTAATCTGTCTGCTGAAATGTGCTCTGTCTGTTTGTAACTTAAGCCACACAAGTAAAGTCATACTTCTGCCTCATCACTACCAGTGTCTTCTATAAGACATAACCAACAATTGCTGCCTATCAGTGCTGTCTATCAGTGCCAGTCAGTGCCACCTAACAGTGCCAGTCAGTGCCGCCTATCAGTGCCACCTATTAGTGCCATATATCAGTGCTACCTTTCAGTGCCCATCAGTGATGCCTGTCAATGCCCATCAGTGCCACCTACCAGTGCCTCCTCATCAGTGCCACCTATCAGTGTCCATCAGTGCAGCCTATCAGCGCCCATCACTACAGCCTCACTAGCGCACAACAGTGAAGGAGAAAAATCACTTATTTATAAAATTTTATAACAAAAAATAAGAAAAAACGTTTTTTTTTTCAAACTTTTCAGTGGTTTTTGGCTTGTTTAAGAAAAAATAAAAAACCCAGAGTTGATTAAATACCACCAAAATAAAGCTCTATCTGTCACAAAAAATGCTAAAAATTTCATATGGGTACAGTGTTGCATGACCATGCAATTGTCATTCAAAGTGCAACAGCGCTGAAAGCTGGAAATTGGCCTGGGCAGGAAGGGGGTATAAGTGCCCGGTAGGCGAGGGGTTAAATGTCTATCTAATTTCCAGTAAAAACCGAGATATCAGTTGCACACGTTTGGAATTGATATGTAGGCTCCTATGTGTTGTATTGTCCTCTTCATATCCATGTAGGCACCAACGTTGTAACAGATAAAAAATAAATATAGTAATAAAAAGAGAGCAGGCTTCCCATTCCTGCTCAGGGGCGGACTGACCATTCGGAAACTCGGGCACTGCTTGAGGGCCCGGGGTCAGTAAGGGGCCCCATGAGATGCCCTTGGTACCTTTCTTAGGCTTTTTTGGTTGTGGTTTGAGTGTGGGCGAGGACACAGGGGCCCCATGAGTTGTCAGTCCGCCCCTGTTCCTGCTTATTGTACACGAGTCCCAGATGCTCTGGAAGGGAAGAGAAAAAAATGTTGTTTATTTTGCAAACAGAATAGAATGAGAAAATAGCTACTCAACCAATCCTTGATCTGTTTCCACTTGAGAAATGAAACATTTTTGGAAAGTGGTGATACTTCAAACATAGACTCTTCTATTTGAGGAATTGTATTGTTGATTTTTAATAGAATAGGTAGGGTTTAGATTAGAACTTTTGATGTTTTGGTTTAGGTATGTGACTTTGGTGAGATTTCCTTTCATTAACTTTATGGTCACCATGACAGATAGTGGGGGGTTCAGTTCAAAATTGCTGACATATAACAGAGAATGGACCTGTGTAATTTCTGTTGCGCTACCTACAGTTAAAGTGATATTAAAGGCAATAAAATAAATAAAAAAATTTATACTTACCTGCTCTGTGCAGTGGTTTTGCACAGAGCAGCCCCACTAGCCCCTCCCTCCTGACAAGTGCCCCCATAGCAAGCAGCAAGCAATCCAAGCAGGCTAGCTCCCGATCTGCTGCTCTGTGTGTCCATTCACACACAGAGCCGCTCTGCCTCACTCCCTCTCTCTCCTCATTGGCTCACTGGCTGTAATTGACAGCAGCTGTGACCAATGGCTCTCGCTGCTGTCTGAGCCAATAAGGAGGAAGAGCCCCCAGAGAGCCAACGCTCTCATGCACATCACTGGATTGCGATGGGGCTTAAGTAAGTATTGGGGGGGCTGGGGGGCTGCTGCACACAGGTTTTTTCCCTTCGTGCATAGAATGCATGTAGGTACAAAAAACCTTGAGCCTTCACAACCACTTTAAATTTGCAATTAAAAGTTAGTTATACATATTTGAATTTGCACTATTAAATTAATTTTGTGTGACCTATTCTATATCCTGCCCTCCCTCCCTATCTAGTCCACTTACATTTAACCACCTGACCTGCAGAAGGTTTTACCCCCTTCATGACCAGGGAATTTTTTTTGCTATTCAGCACTGCATTAATTTAACCACTTGAGCTCCTGAGGATTTACCCCCCCCTTAATGACCAGGCCTCTTTTTGCTACTCGGTGCTGCACTAATTCAACTGATAATTGTGCGGTCATGCAATGCCGCACCCAAACGAAATTTATGTCCTTTTTTTCACACAAATAGAGCTTTCTTTCGGTGGTATTTGATCACCTGTGCGCTTTTTATTTTTCATGCTATAAACAAAAAAAGACTAAATATTTTGAAGAAAAATTATATTTTTTACTTTCAGCTATAAAAAATATATAGTAAACTCAAAGTTAGTTATAAATTTAGGCCAAAATGTATTTTGCTACATATTTTTGGTAAAAAAAAATCCCAATAAGTGTATATTGATTGCTTTGTGTGAAAGTTATAGCGTCTACAAACTATGGTATAGATACTGCAATTTATGACTTTTTTTTTGCTATACAGCGCTGCGCTAGTTTAACGGACAATTGCTTGGTCATGCAATACGGTACATAAATGAAATTTATGTCCTTTTTTAACACAAATAGAGCATTCTTTTGGTGGTATTTGATCACCTGTGCACTTTTTATTTTTGGCGCTATAAACAGAAAAAGTTTTGAAGAAAAAAAATTTTTTTTTGAAAAAAAACAATATTTTCTCATTTTGGTCATAAAAAATATCTAAAAAAAACTAAAATTTCATCATAAATTTAGGCCAAAATGTATTCTGCTACATGTTTTTGGTTAAAAAATCCCAATAAGTGTATATTGATTGCTTTTTGTGAAAGTTATAGCATCTACAAACTATGGTATAGATAATGGAATTTACACAGCTTTTACTTTCTGACTGCCCATCACATTTCTTGAGGTGCTAAAATACCAGGATAGTACAAAACACCCTCAAATGACCCCCTTTTCGGAAATTAGACACCCTAAGCTATCTGCTGAGAGGCATATTGAGTCCATGGAAGAGTTATTTTTTTTTCCACAAGTTTCTGGAAAATGACAAAAACTTTTTTTTTTTTTTTACACAAAGTTGTCATTTAAATGATTTATTTCTCGCACAAGCCATGGGTATATGTGGAATTACACCCCAAAATACATTCTGCTACTTCTACTGAGTATGGGGATACCACATGTGTGAGACTTTTTGGGAGCCTAGCCACATACAGGAGCCTGAAATCCAATGGCCACTTTGAAAGCCTGAAGGTGCATAACTTCCTCATTACACTTCCTCACTACCTATCACAGTTTCGACATGCCAGGATAGCCCCAAACCCCCCCAAATGACCCCTTTCTGGAAGGTAGACACCCCAAGGAATTTAAAAGAGGCATGGTGAGCATTTTGCAGATCTCATTTTTTCTCACAAGGTTTTGAAATATAAAAAAAAATAGAAAAAAATATTTTTTTTTTTTCTTAATTTTCCAAAAACTTGTGGCAACAAATGAGATCTGCAAAATACTTACTGTGCTTTTTATCAAATTCCTTGGGGCGTCTACTTTCCAAAAAGGGGTAATTTGGGGGGGCTAGGTGCTATCCTTGCATTTCAGGGCCTCCGAAACTGTGATAGGTAGTCAGGAAGTGTAATGAGGAAATAAAGCCCTTTAAAAGCCTGAAGGTGCTTATTGGATTTTGGGGTCCTGTACTTGGCTAGACTGCCAAAAAGTCTCTTACATGTGGTACCCTCATACTCGGGAGAAGTAGCAAAATGTATTTAGGGGAGTAATTCCACATATACCCATGGCATGTGTGAGCAGTAAATCATTTAAGTGACAATTTTGTGTAAAAAAAAAATATTTATCTTTGTCATTTTCCAAAAACTTGTGGTAAAAAAATAAATTCTTCTATTGATTCAACATTCCTCTCAGCAAATAGTTTGGGGTGACTACTTTTCAAAAAGGGGTCATTTTGGGGGGTGGGGGCGTTTTATGCCCAGCATTAGAAGTTTATGCCACACATCATTCACTCTTCTAACCACCTGAAGACCAAGCCTCTTTGTTCACATGAACAAAATCAGTATTGTTTGCTAGGAAATTAATTTAAACCTCGAAACATTATATATTTTTTTAAAGCAGACACCCTAGTGAATAAAATGGTGCCTACTACAATTTTTTATGGCACATAGTACTCGCGCAGCAATTTTTCAAAAGCAATTTAAAAAAAAAAAAACACTTTTTTTTACTTTTAATGCACAAAAACACAATATATTGGCCAATTGTTTGGTAAGATATAAAAGACAATGGTATGCCGAGTAAATAGATACCAAACATGACATGCTTTAAAACTGCTTATGCCCCGTGCAATGGCAACAAACTGCAAACATTTTTAATATCCATAGGCAGTGCTTTAAAAGCCTTTAAAAGCTACCATTTTAGATTTACAGAGGAGGTCTAGTGTTAGAATTACTGCCCTTGATCTGACGTTCACGGCAATACCTCACATGCATGGTGCAACCACTGTTTACATAACAGCACAGGGTCAAGGCTTGTGCACACCGGTGTGCGCGCATGGGAGGGGCAATTTTTTTCTTTTTTTTTTTCTAGTTATTTTGATTTTTTATTATTTTTACATTGTACCTTTCTTTTTTTTTTTTTTTGTTATCACTTTTAATGCTATAACAGGGAATGCAAATAACCCCTATAACTTCAATGGGCATTTGTCATATTCTTTTTTGAGAAACCTGGGGTCTATCAGACTCTAGATATCTCCTCTGCCCTTACATTATCTAATCAAACCAAAATCGGTGTGATCAGATGCTTTCCCAATTTACAAATGGCGCTGTTTATATCCTGCGAAACGGAAGTGATGAAATGCTTGTAGCTTCCAAATTCTTAGACTATAAAGATGATTGGCACCATTCTGGTCTCCAATCAGCTCTATGGTCAGC